ATACGGAGAGAAAGAAAATGCCGCCGGCAAATTGAGCTCTGTTTTGCTTGGAAGAATTCTTAACGAATTATGGGGAGATGAAGTTATATTGGTGGGGCGACCACGTAACTCAAAGGTGCATAAACGTGAAAAATTAGAGGATAGAGGATTGAAATGAAAGATCAACCTTTGCCCTTGATTTCTGCGGTGGATTTGTGGCCGTGGGTACATTTTAGCCTGGGATTTTTGACTTCGTTCGGCAGGCTGTCCCGAGTAAGGTGTTTCGCCTTGTCCTCTCTTTATTAAGGGAAAACCGGAATTCAAAAAAGTCGCTTAAATCATGTTCAATCGGTAAAATAACACTTGTAAGCAACTTACCGCAAGAAGAAAAGATAAACATGTTATTGTCCGGCTTAGGGTCGGTCCGTATAGTGAAAAACTGTGACCTCGGGTTTCAAAATGCCGCCCGAAGCCTGCGGCCTCGGGCAGCATAGACGGACCTCCAAGCCCGCCAATGACATATATATAGACCCGTTAAGTTATAGTATCGAATAATTTGCCGACCCTGTTGCGCTCACGCCTGTCACAAGAGAAATATTCATGATATAAAAAATACCCAACACCTTTTTGATCCTTGATGCTTAAGGAATGTTCTGGCAAAATTTCATGACAACCTACCAACGGCTACATACCCTATTAAGGTGGCTCAAAACAGTTTTCTGGGTTTTTTTTTTGAGACTTTTAGAACAAAGTGCGATTTTCCAGGCTTGGAACTGTACTGTTTTGAATGGCTGTGCTATTTTTTTTAAGGTAACTCTCCACTGTACCTTTCACTGCGTTAATGTCATAAATTAAGGTTGCACTGTTCTGTTGCATAGCAGCAAACTTGAACCACTTTTTACCATCAATTGCATCTATCTTAACAACTAAGTCGGTGACCCCATATATATTTTTTTAAATCTTTTTATTACACACAAGAGAAGAAACATGGAAAATTAGAAGAAAATCTGTGGAGTAGATTTTGCTAAATTAAAAAAAAAAATGGAAATTTCAAGATTGGAAAATTTCCACTCCACAGTTTTTTACAATTTCGCGCATGCATTCCGCTTTTGCTGTTAAATAATTTTTTGCATTAAAAAGGTAGGGTCACGGGATCAGTTTTTGAAATATTAGCTTCGTGGATAAGGAATTTCTACCGCGCGTTCTACGCGCAAATCAAAATCTCGACTTTGCAAGATCGCACTTTGCGCACGCGTGAAGGCAGTCGTTAGCAGCATGAGCGGTAGAAGAAGAGTACCATAAATACCCGAAAGTGAGACTGGCCTAGTTAAACGAACAAAGAAAACTTGAAGAATAGTATTTTTCCTACTGCTTTTTTAGATTAATAGCCGGCGCGAGCGATCGCAACATCAGCATCACAATTTTCGATTAGGTTCCAGTACAGCGGTTGAAAAAAATATTTTTTCATTTGAAATCGCCTGAAAGATAGATGTTTTCGAAGATAAAAATAAGCGATATCACAAACAGCTGACTAAACTTAGCGGAAACAAAGTTTTACGAAGTAGGCCTTGCGCCGCCATGTTTTTTTTTTTTGAGTTTTGCAAACTTTAAATCTCGCGCGCTATCTCGCGACCCCTCAGGTGATCGCGTGATGCCTCGCGCTGAAGTGCGCGTTACAGTCCAGGCTGTTCACGAAAATATTACTGCTTTGAGGCACCTTAATTCATTTAAAGAGATGGTATTCTCGCGAAAAACTATTGCAAGTTTTTATCGCCATTTGAAGAGTTGTAAACATGTCACACCTTTACTCCGATGTATGTCAACAGAATATGCCGCCAGCCAATGAAATCGTGGCACTCCTAGCGTTCACAGCGAGCGAAATGATTTTCGTTGGAATTTCAAGGCAATAATAGTATAACAGTCAAGTTCTCCTTGTTGAACTTCAGCATGCGTTTATAGAGAGGTCTTCACCGCTCGTAAGAAATAAGAAAAACCAGAGAAAAAAGCGGGGTAAGAGTACAGGTATAAATACGCACGATTCCTTGCCGCTGTTGGTCAAAGTCTTCTTCTTGTCTTCGAAAAATTTTGCTTTTGTCTTCTTCTTGGGTCCTGGCTTCGATATTTTCGCTTTCCCAGGCCTTTTCTCTTCCTTTTTTTTTTTTTAGCACGTTTCATGACCTCGATAAAGAGTGATAGGCAGCATGGAAGAACGCATTAATTCCAGAACTCAACTGCGAAATAGCATGCCAACAAAAAATGCTAATGAGGCCCTTGTAATAGGAGCTACCGGAGGAAGCCGTGTCGCGCGAAAAGTCGACGCGCTATGAGGATTATGACACCTAACTGTTTTATTAAATTCTATTAAAAAATCTTTTTTTAAATAACTCGCTCGCGTTTTAAGTTTTTACTTTCATTTCAAGGAAATGTTAGATTTTATAGAGACCTTTTTGTTTTCCTTAAAAAGAAAACTTGGACAAACGTAGCACTCTCAAGGTTATGTGTAACCTTAAGAATTAGATTATGAGCTCGAGATTTCTATCGCGTGTTAGTTTACATGGGCGCATCCCGAAACAATTGTCTCGAGTGGAATTCCAGAGCGAATATTCTCACTGTTTTTCTCAATGTACTAGTCGTTCGAAGCTGTCTGTCATTACATTTCTTTCATTTAATTTTAATTTTTTCATTCAACGACTCCTCCTCTCCCGTTATATCTGTTACAATCAACTACGACAATTAGAAAAGATGGCATATCGACACAATATTTCTGCTTACCTTGTGTTCCGCGAGCACCTTCCTTATCATTCCACAGGAGCAAGAGCAGTAAGAGGAGCATTTTCATGGTGTAGGAGTCTTTTTTGTCGCAATGATCTGCTGCCTTTTACTTGTTAATTACCATTTCTGCAAAGAAATGATTATCAAATTAACTGGAAGAACGCCTGTCAAAGATTCTTGGGGAGTGGGAGGGCAACCGTGTCAGTTGCCACGTATGAATAAAGAAAAACTCGCCAAGAATATAAGATTTTTGCGTCCAATGGTTCTCAGAGGGGCCCTGCATACCAATAAAGCTGAAAGTTAAAGTTCTAAGAACGTTAGTTATTCTACATTTACAAAGTTAAACTTAAGAATGTAGAAATTATAAAATAAGATTAAGAAATACTCAAAGGTGTCCTTTGAAAGTTGAAAATGTTGGAATGGTTCCTAATTGCATCTGGTAAAGTATCCCAATCAGTCGTCAAATGCAAAAGTTGGACAAAGGATTTCACATTACACACAACTTTGCAATTGGTCGAAAATAATCTTTGCTACCTGCTACAACGCGTACTACTCTGACCATCCTGTCAGGGCCAGGAAAAACCTCTTGAATTCGACCCAAAGGCCAATGCAATCGTGGGTTGCCGGGATCCACCATCGGGACCTTGTCCTCGGGAGCAATGTTGCGTTTCTCCTCATCCCATTTGTTTCGAGTGTTCAGGGTCGTCAGGTATTCCTTCATCAGTCTTCTCCAGCACTTGGTGATGAGATCTTGTGTAAATCGCCATCGATTTCTCGGGTTGAACGCAATATCATCGATGACCCTGGGTGCAAGTTGTCCATCCATTTGGTCGTAAAGGAAATGGTTTGATGTTAAAACCTGCTCATCGTTGGGATCGCTGCTACAACAACTGAGCGGGCGGGAATTCAAAATTCCGTCTACTTCGACCACCGCGTTAGTAGCTCTTCATACGTAGTTCTGGACTCTCCAAGGATTGCACATAAGGCTTTTGTAGCAGACTTGATAAGGGGTTCAAAAATTCCTCTATGATGCGATCCACCGGAGGAGGGGGAGGGGGGGGGGG